CAATTGAACAAGCCTCCTCGAAGTCCTTCTTGCGCGTACAAATTCGGTGAAATCTCAAGATCTGCGACTTTATAATGCCAGAAAAGGTATGTTTAGGATGAAAAGATGATTTGAATAAAAGTTGGTGAGTATCAGTGGGCTTGAAAAAAACTTTAATATCTAATTGATTGGTTTCATGAAAATTGGTATCTTTAAAAACTGTGGTGTCTAGAAAATCAATCTGTTTGTCGCTAATATTAGAAGTTAATTTTACAGAAGGGTGGTGGCTATTGAGAGTATCAAAATATTCCCAAAATTCATCTATTGTATGAGTCAAAATTAAGAAAATATCATCAAGAAATCTTACATAAAAAATTGGTAGTTTGGGACAGAGGAGTGAAACTTCTCTTTCCCATTCTGCCATGAAAATGTTTGCATAAGAGGGCGCAAAGCGTTTTCCCATGGCAGTTCCTGAAGCCTGAAGATAAATATTTTCATTGAAAGTAAAGTCATTACGTTTTAAACAAATTTCCAAAAGTTCAAGAATTTCTTTATCTGGTCTATCAGGATCGGGCTTTCGCTCGAATGCCTGCTTTACAGCGCGTAATCCAGAATCATTGTCAATTTTAGTATACATGCTTTGAACGTCTAAAGAGACTAAAAGGGCATTTTCTGGGATCACGAGTTTCTTTACCTTTTCCACAAAGTCGTTGGTGTCTTTGATATAGGCAGGATGTTTTGAGGCAAGAGGCAGTAAAAAGTGATCAATGTATTCTGATACCCTGTACGATTCGCTTCCACAATCGGAAATAATTGGGCGACCTTTTGGGATTTTATTTGGAGAGAACCACTCAGTTTCAGGATTTTTGTGTATTTTTGGGAGGGTATAAAGATGTCTCTGACGTGGCCTAGGCTTAGATATCCAGTGCGTGGAAAGAAACCCTCTCACAAAGTTTCCATATCTATTATATCCTGTTTTTAGACCTGAACATAACACGATTTGCAAAACCCCTGAAATCATCGAATGTACTTACATCGCATAGAAAAGAGTTGTCGTGGGGAGTCCAGTCGGATCGTTTGACCTTTACTCCCCATTCTCTGCGTCTCCTTTTATTCTTAGGGAACATGTGCATCACTATACCTTCTCCAGATTTGACAGAGCATTTCCATGCCACACATCGAGGCATTCTGTTGCCAGACAAGACCAGGAATTAGGCTTAAACAACGTAAAGAATACCTAGGCTCCTACGCCTAAACGTCGCGGGAAGGGTAACAATATGGCGGCCTTCAATCACGTGACCGCTCTGCGCCAATCATGGTTCAGCGCGGCGAGATCACACGTTGGCCAGACTCTCTCTGTATACGGCTCTGGTAAAACCTGCAAAAGGTAGCCACAATTTGTTTGTGAACACATTAGAGACTACAGTTTTCAACTGATTTTAATGAAGTTTGGTGTGATCATTTATATTGATGAGATCCTGATCAAGTTCGAATTCGACGATATTTCAATTTACGGCCAGTTATTGCCATTGACTTAGAAAAAATGGTTCAAATATTTTTGTAAGTACATAAGAGACTACAGTTTTCAATTGATTTTAATGAAACATGGTGTGATCATGTATTTTGATGAGATAATTTGATCTATTTGGGTTATTGATTTTTAAAAAATTGGTGGAATTTCTCAGCATAAATAACTGGAAGTAAATATATATATCATTGAATTCAAAGTATTAAAATTTCTTTAATATGAGAAAATTCATACTTTAGTCGCTAAAGACTATTTTATCATTTCTGCCAGTGAAAGTATGTTACTTTGCCAAGCACGCTATCTTCATTATTATTTGCAGACGACCTCTCATTGCCGCCCGCTTCTTCGGGTCAGATAAGATACTCTCATGGAAATTAAAAAGCTTACACCGAAAAAGCCAAAAAAAAGTCTGCAAAAAATATAAAAAAAAAATAAAAATTGTAACTGAAATAATTTCTAAAATTGTCATATTGGTGTATGTTTAGTGTAAATGTATGTACAAAAACATTCCCGACCAACTGAATCAGACTCGTAGTCAGTTATAGAGGATAAAATGAAAAACATGGTGTCTCGCAATAAGAACAATGGTTTGATTAATATTCAATTAACTATGACAAAATTTACAATGTTCGGCTTATTGCAATATAATTGTCAAAACAAAGCATTGTTTAAACTGTAAATGTATATTCTTTTTTCACCAATCCGAAATCCTTCTCGACGTTTCATGTTCCTGAATATCAATTACCACATGTCATTATAGCACATACCATTTGCCTAGAAACCCAAACCTCTTTGGAATCACTATAATACACAGGTATGGTATATCCAAGAGGTAAATGAATACTGTGATGTTAGACTGCTGCATGATCTATGATCAGACATGATCTATCAACGTTCCATGGGAGGCTCTTTTCATACCAGTGATGCTGATGGCTGCGCTACCCTTCGAATCTACCTAGCTACTTTAACGCAAGATACATTTGTAATACATCGAGTATCTGGGCAGGGTGATTATCGTGATAGCTAAAAGATAACTTTTGTATTATATTGACACAGCAAGTCAACAAACACCAATCTGAAATGGCAGGAGAATCAAATATAACAATACACAGTATACTTCCCTTTTGAATTTTTCTTCTGTGAACCTCTTGACCTCTTGACC